ATCGATTGGACATCTACGGAACTCCCCACGACAACGCCCATGCTGCTCCGAGAGTAAATACGTCATCGAATAGTCCTTGCTCCACGTGTAGCTCTCTTATGTACTCCTGGTTTCCTCCCTGCGGCTATAAAAGGAGGCAGCCAGGACCGTTTCTAGGACGACGAATAGAATCATAGATACTCGCATGAACAACACGCCTCGTTCTGTAATTTGATATCACCTCCCCTCACAGAGATCTAGGACGAACTCCCTCTCTCGCCTAGCTTGTAACCCCATACTACGAGCACCCCGGTGCAAGGAATACAAGAACACCTTCTCAGACTGGACGTAGGGCATCCATTGCCCGAACCAGTATAAACCTTGTGTCTCTTTGCATCTCCATCCAGAATTGGGAGCACGCAGCACAAATTCACTAGTCGGTTAAGGACCCCCGGTTCCGAAACACCGACAGGAGGCAAGGATGTAAGGTATAGAACCCAGGGGGCGAACCGTTTGGTTTTATAGGGGCGACGAATGTGAGGGAACCAACTATCCGCCTGGATCTCCGCGCCTACCATGATCTGCCACAACGTCCCACCGTGGGAAGTGCGCACGCAATCTCTGTCCGTTACCTCGAAAAACTCGTGGGACATTTTGCCTCTCCGCACGGGCCACAACTCGTCACAAGAGAAATACTGATCAAACAACACCTCTATGGCCCATCGAGGCCCAGGAGTTTGAAGGTCGGCCCATCAACGGGTTCAAAAACCGCTCCAGGCACCCTTAGAGTAAAGGATGGAAAGGGATGGGCCCGCAAGCGGCTAGCACCGAGGCGCACGAGTGCCACGGACATGCCGGCTCATGGTCGAGTTCGGCCGGTCACGATCCGTGGTTTTTCCTCAAAGAAAGGCGCATAGCCCTCGGGATCGCTCGAACGGACCCGAGAACTATACGGATCGACCACCAAGAATCTGGAGTCGATCACCAAGCTGGCCTTGGCCAAATCCCCACGAACCAGATGCTGGGACCCCACTCGAACTAGCCAGCTAACAACCCACCAAATCTCACGGCCATACCCGCGAAGGGTCCAACCTCGATGAGAGGGAATCACCGTCCCCGGGACATGTCGTGGGTGACAAAAGAAGGCCAGGGCCCTCAGAGTCCTCCCATTCGGAAGAACCTCCGAAGGAGTATTCTACACCTCTGCAGGCTCGAGGGCTACTGTCGAGGACCAATACTATGGTACCCAAAGAGGAGGAGCTAATAAACATCAACGTTAATTCATCCGAGCGGTCAAGAGCGCGACTACAGCTCTTGCAGATAGCCAGGTACGCAAGCTCCGCCTCGACCGACCTCTGGGTCTGTGCTCAGCCTCGCCCGACCCTTAGGGGAGGACTCCACCTCGCTCGATCCCTAAGGGCTGGTTCCACATCCCCCCGCCTCTGGGGGAGGACTCCGCCTCGCCCGACCACAAGGTCGCGGGCTCCGCCTCGTCCGGCCCTTACGAGAGGACTCCGTCTCGCCCGATCCTTGAGGGCTGGTTCTGCCTCGCCCGGTCTCTAGGGGAGGACTCCATCTCGCCCAACCCCAAGGCCACGGGCTCTGCCTCGCCCGGCCTCTGGGGGAGGACTCCGCCTCGCCCGGCCCCTAGGTCTGCGCTCTGCCTCGTCCAACTCTTGAGTCTGCGCTCCGCCTCGTCCGGCCTCTGTGGGAGGACTCCACCTCGCCCGACCCCAAGGCCGCGGGCTCCGCCTCGCCCGACCCTTAGGGGAGGACTCCGCCTCGCCCGATCCTTGAGGGCTGGTTTTGCCTCGCCTGGCCTCTGGGGGAGGACTCCGCCTCACCCGACCCCAAGGCCGCCGGCTCCACCTCGTCCGGCCCTTAGGGGAGGACATCACCTCGTTCGATCCCTGAGGGCTGGTTCCGCTTTGCTCGGCCTCTGGGGGAGGGCTCCACCTCGCTCGACCCCTAGGTCTGCGCTCTGCCTCGCCCGACCCCAAGGCTGTGGGTTCCGCCTCACCCGACGAAGACCCATACCGTCGCCAACCACTCCAAGTCCAAGTGTATGGGTCTGGGTTCAAGCTCTGACACCAGAGAAGAGACTGGCACGCCTCGACGTAGCCCACGACCCACGACGGGCCATAACTATGGGTTCATGTCAGGAACAGCGTCGGGCGTACTGGTGTTGTTCAGCCTAACCCCCGTACGAACACTGATGGGCACGTCAGTTCGCCACGACGACCGCTAGGACAGAGTGGAGTGCCATGACAGGCAGACGACGCCTGCACATGGTGCCAGTGACGGATAGGGCCGCGACGTGGAGCTGTCCCTGTTGACGTCTACAGGGTCGGCGGGACCCGCATATAAGAGAAAAAGGACCCGGTGATCCTGTAGGACTTCTTCTCCTTCTGATTCTCCTCTTCTCCATCCGCTGTAACCCCTGCTTTCCCTTGGACTATAAAAGGAAAAGCAGGGCGTTCTATTAGGGGGCATCGGACGAACGATCGAACACATCCGAGCTCGACTCGACTCGACTCGAATCAGAGCTCACCGCAACACACCACAAGAGACTTGGGACCAGTCTCTCTCTCGACCGTTTGTAACCCCTACTACGAACTTTCAGTGCTAGTAACACGAGCAACAGCAACGAACTGGACGTAGGTACATTCTGCCCAAACCAGTATAAACCTCATGTCCTCTTAGCACACCATCCGGGCTAGACGCACAATATTAGAAATTTACTTGTTGGTGGCAACTCGAAACACCAACAGTAGGCTTCAACGGACGTGTTATCTAACTTCGTAAAATAGGAAGCTGACTATCCCTTGATTTTCGGTAACCATATATTGCTAACAACGGACGCTCGCTATCTGACTTTGTAAAATAACAAAGCTGTTGTGGACCTCTTTTTTAAAAAAAAAGTTTTCTAGTTTACAAAATGGCTACACAAAGGAATTTGCCTACTAATTTAAACAAGTTGTTGGAGTTATTCTAAAGTTAGCTCTAAACTTTATCCCACATCACATTAGAGCTTTAGAGCTCAAAAGTAAGCTAAAGTGTTCTAAAGCTTTAAGATGTCTAAAGTTTAGAGAAAGGGATCAAACATGCCCTTAATAAGGTAAACTTGTGCTCTGATGGATCCAGAAGAATTTGCAAGTATAAGTATTGCAAACTCAAACTTGAACCTTTATTCATTTGCCTAAATTAAAGCTGCCGTAGAAGTTGACCTACTTGGAAGTCGGATTTTTAACCAAGAGATTCAGTTGGAGGTCATGGAACGGATGCGTTTGCACGTTCCAAGTTAGGTAGATCTTTGTTCATAGATTTTTTGCAAGCTGTAGCTCCACTTGTTACTACTTCGGAAGTTGACTCCAAAACAGCTTTCCTCTCCCATAGGCAAAAACAGTTTTCCTCTCCCATAGCTTTTCCTCCTCCCACATATATTTTGAGTTGGAGAAAAGCAAAAACAGAACACTCTGTTTATTATGTTTACTTGATACCCTAACTAAACTTTAGTCTCTGTCATATCGGATGTTTAAACACTAATTTAGAGTATTAGAAATAGACTTATTTAAAAACTAATGACATGGATGGAAACTAATTTGCGAGACGAATCTATTAAACCTAATTAATGCATGATTTGACAATGTAGTGCTACAATAAACATGTGATAATGATGAATTAATTAGGCTTAGTAAATTCATCTCGTAAATTAGTCTCCATCTGTGCAATTAGTTTTATAACTAACTCATTCTTAATTCTCTTATTAGCATCGTCCAATGTGACAGAGACCGGATCCAAACATCTCTGTCAACCTATCGTAGGTGAGTACTTGCTTGGCTGTGGTTGCCCCAACCAAGCCAACTTCGGTAACAACAAAAAAAAAACCGAACACCGAAGGCTGCTTCGCCGTCGATGTACGCGCGACTGGCAACCGGCGACGGCAGCTGCTGCGCCCTGCTGGGATCGGAACACTGGCGCGTGTTCGCTGAAACAAGCAGAGCAGGTACGTGACGGGTTTCTTCCTTGCCGCCGCGCGCGTCCAACTCCAACCAGAGACAAAGACAACGTCGTGTCGCCCCGGAACGAAGGAAGCAACGACCAACGAGCACCCTTGCGGTTGCGGTTGCGGTTGCGGTTGCCGGCCGTCTTGGCTCTGCCGCTGGCTTCGCGGGCAAGCATTCGCCGCTACGGCAAGCCCATCACCCCTTGCTTCCCTCGCCCGCCCGGGAGGACATCACATCAGATCGACGCCCGAGACACGTTTCCTGGCGTCGCCAACCGCCGGTGCCCGTGCTGAGCAAATCTTACGACGCGGGACACACACGGCCGGGGGCTTTCCTTCCATCCAGGTCCTGGGCTGCTGCGCTGCGTCTTCCTACCCCCACGGCCTGGGGTAATCAATCACCCCCACGGCCACAGGCCACAGCTCCATCGCAACCACTCCAACCGAAGGCCAGCGTCGTCCCTGATCTCATCGTTAACGAGGTAGGCCGCCGGAACCGCTCCACGTTATCCACGCCCGGCCGTCTCTCTTTTCAGATTCGTGTTTCTGTTCATTGTCGTTTCCTCCCGGCCTCTTTGCTTCAACTCAACAATTATCCTCGGCTCCTCGCGTGCTAAGAAAATACTATAGTAAAATCATTCCTTCCCTTCAAATGTGTTTTCACGTTTTTAACGCTTAGCCGCTAATCATCTCTGTCGATCCAGTCAAAGTTAAACACTCTGTATATCGTCGTGCTTACTTGCTTTGAGTGATGTTGCCGTCGCTCTCAGTCTCGTGGTTCCAGTGCTTATTACAAAAACCAGTGACGCTAATCATATCCGTCCATTGAAGGTCGTACCATGTGCAAGATTTTAAAATCTCTATTGTTTGTTTGTACCGTGTGACACGCAGGAACACGCCGACCTGTCTCCCGAGGATTGTTTGTTGGCAGATCAAGCCGCGTTGGCCCAGTCAAAGCCCAGCCCAACCGACACCACGCCGGAAGTATAAAGAGCCAGCCCGAGCAGGCGGCGAGATGCGGAAGTGGACGAAGAAGCTGGGCCACACCCTCTCCCGCATCGTCACCTCCAAGCCGCGCTTCGCCTTCTCCCGGCCCAGGCCCAGGCCCACCCCTCCCGTCGGTCCGCCTCCCCCTCCGCCGCCCGTCTCGATCCCGCCGCAGCCGCCGGAGGAGGAACTTCCCCTTCCCCCCTTCGCCCCCGCCACCACCATGCCGCACCACGGGCCCGTGTTCCCGCGCGCCACGTCCACGGTGGTGCCCGACCCGTCCCGCTTCTTCGCGCCGCCGCTCCTCGCCGCGCCGCTCCCCACCAACTCCTTCTTCCAGAACTTCGTGCTCAAGAACGGGGACCAGCCGGAGTACATCCACCCCTACTCCGTCCGCTCCCCCGGCGGCGCCGCCCTCGACGTCTGCTACCCGTCGCGGAACCACTCGCCGTCCTTCGTCATCCAGACGTTCGTCGCCGACCTCACCGTCTCCGACGCCGCCGGGAGCACGGTGCAGCGCCACTCCGTCTCGGCCTTCGACGACCTCTCCGTCACGCTCGACGTCTCCCCGTCCCTCCGCGCGCACCTCGTCCGCGGATGCCCCTACGTCACCGTCACCACCACGGCGGGGCCCGTGGACGTCTCCGTCGCGTCCGTCCACGCCTTCCTCGACGTCGCCTGCTGCGACGACTCGGGAACCAAGTGGCGCCTCCGGATGAACAGCGGCCAGACGTTCCTCCTCTACGCGTCCGCCTCGCGCAGGCCACCACCTCGCAGCTCTCAGCGCCCGCCTTCGCCGGCGCCATCCGGGTCGCCTACCTCCCCGACGCGTCCATGGAGCCCGTCCTCGACCGCTACAGCCGCTGCTTCCCCACCGCCGGCCACGCCGCGCTCAACCGCCCCTTCTGCGTCGACTACGCCTGGCGCAAGGACGGGCCCGGGGAGCTGCTCATGCTCGCGCACCCGCTCCACCTCCGCCTGCTCGCCGAAGACGACTGCGCCGTGCGGGTGCTCGACGACTGCCGCTACCGGAGCATCGACGGCGATATGGTCGGCGTGGTCGGCGACGCCTGGGTTCTGCGCACCGACCCGGTGTCCCCGACATGGCACTCCACCCGCGGCGTCAGCGAGGACGGCGTCGCCGAGGTCGTGGCCGCGCTCCGCGCCGACGTGGCCGGCCTCGCGTCCACCGCGGTCACCACCACCTCGTCCTACTTCTACGGGAAGGCCATCGCGCGCGCGGCGCGGCTGGCGCTGATCGCGGAGGAGGTCGGGTGCCCCGACGTGATCCCCGCGGTGCAGCAGTACCTCAAGGCCGCCGTCACGCCGTGGCTGGACGGCAGCTTCCAGGGGGACGGCTTCTTCTACGACGCCAAATGGGGCGGGCTGGTGACGCTGCAGGGGCTCAAGGACTCCGGCGCCGACTTCGGGTTCGGCATCTACAACGACCACCACTACCACCTGGGCTACTTCCTCTACGCCATCGCGGTGCTGGCCAAGATCGACCCGTGCTGGGGCCGTAAGTACATGCCGCAGGCCTACTCCATGGTGGCCGACTTCATGACGCTGTCGCGGAACAAGGCCGGCGCCAGCTTTACCCGGCTGCGGATGTTCGACCTCTGGAAGCTGCACTCGTGGGCGGGGCTGACGGAGTTCGCCGACGGGCGCAACCAGGAGAGCACCAGCGAGGCCGTCAACGCCTACTACTCGGCGGCGCTGGTGGGGCTCAGCTACGGGGACGCGCACCTCGTGTCCGTGGGCGCCACGCTGACGGCGCTGGAGATGCTGGCGGCGCAGACGTGGTGGCACGTCCGGGAAGGGGAGGGCATCTACGAGGACGACTTCAGCGGGAACAACCGCGTCGTCGGGGTGCTGTGGGCGAACAAGCGCGACAGCGGGCTGTGGTTCGCGCCGCCCGAGTGGAAGGAGTGCCGCCTCGGGATCCAGCTGCTGCCCGTGCTGCCCATCAGCGAGGCGCTGTTCCCGGACGTGGCGTTCGTCAAGGACCTGGTGGCGTGGACGCTCCCGGCGCTGGCGAGGGACGGCGTCGGCGAAGGCTGGAAGGGCTTCGTGTACGCGCTGGAGGGGATCTACGACAAGGAGGCGGCGCTGACCAAGACCCGCGCACTCAATGGCCATGATGATGGCAACTCGCTGACCAACCTGCTGTGGTGGCTCCACAGCCGCGGCAACGTCGTCGGGGACGGGGACGCCGGGTTCAGCCGCTGCTGCTGGTACCGCCAGTACTGCCACTGAGAGCAGCACGAGTGTGGTGTGACCATTCATGTCGCCTTGTGGAGCAGAGCAGGTGATCGGCTTTCAGTGAAGAGATCAGAGTGGAGTTGATACGTTGAAAAGTCAATAGTGGTTGTTCTTCGTTGGTTGTGTATGTTTATGACTGCCTCATGCTACACACATATACAGTTGAATAAAGTTAGTTCTTTACTTGTTTATTACGTGAGCTTGATGACGCTATCTGGTAAATGGGTCATGGATTATTATTATAAAATTCTGGCTTGGATGAGGTTTTACTATTCCAACGCTATCTGGTAGATGGATCGTGATCCTATGCTATATCGATGAGCTAGCTGACATCTTGTTGGAGCAGCCCCGATTCAAACTCCAACAGATATCATATCCTCTCGTTTTATCCTTAAAATTTTGCAATATAAGAGATAGATTCATCAAATCTCCCACCACATATTTTTTTCTTATATTTTTTGCATTGCTATTGCCCGGACGTCCGGACCTTGGCTAATGTCCGGCATCCGGACGCAGCTCTCGGTCATCCAATTCGAGCACCCAAGCTCATATCACACGACTTCCTCCGCAGCAAGAGCGTGCGCCGTGACGTAGCGCCCCAGTCCCTTGCCGCACGACTTCCTCCGCAACCGGAGCGTATGGCACGACGTTGCGCCCCCATCCTTTGTCGCGCCCTGCACCCCATCCCTTACCGCGCCTAACGGGCCCAAAGCTCGAGCATCTACGACGATTTGGGTTCTCTTGTTGCCATGTGCCTGTCGCACACATCCGGCACACGAGAGAGACACAAGAAAAATGGTGAGATAAATAAATATTTGTACTACAACATCAAACGATAAAAATCGCATAGAAGCCAGAGATAAGAGCAAAATGATTAGTTTCTATCCCCTCACAACATGTTCCATGCAGAAGATTCTCGAAACAAAGCAAGACATCTGCCACAACATCCATGAGTTGCTATGAGAAGATCATAAAAGCAAATGTTGCAACATAGGAGAAAAAAGACCCTGTTTTGCAACATCAAAACGATCTAATCTCAACAATAGAAGCTGCACTTAGGAACAACAGAAAAATGGTTAATCAATAGGCAAAATAATCAGTTACTACATCTCAGTTTTATTACTGCAACATGAGAAATTATTTATTATAACATCTCATTTTGTTTACTACAACATGGAAAACCAACAAAATGCAACATCCAATAGCCAGCTACTAAACATCAAAATAAAAAGGAGATGCAACATCTCTAATCAACATGCCAAAATCTACAACACCAAACAATCATCATTTAATACAACACCAAACATTCATGAAACGCAACATGTAGTTTTATTGCAACAATAGGAGAGACCATCTACTGAAACATCTGAATTTATTATGGAAATATGAGAAATCTTCGGATACAACATAGAGAAACAACAAATACAACATCCCCAAAAAACGTATATTGAGCAACCGCAGCCCTATATCCAAAGAGGAGGGTGTGGATCTAGGCCTCCCTGAGCAGCACTAGATGTCTGGCTTGGAGTGTGAAGATAGTAGCAACGGATGGGCTCGTAATACGCCTACTTGCCGATGGAGGAAGGTGGACACACGTGCGCGAGAGAGAGGTTGTTGCTTACTCGTTGTTCCAGGCCAGAGCTATCACCGGAGAGGGACCAAAGTTGGTGAGGGGCGCGGTGGAGAGGGTGGCAGTCAGCGAGAAGCCGTGGTGGAGAAACCGGCCAGCGCCAGACGGATTGCGTTGCAGGAACTCGAGTGCGTGGCGTCGAGCGAATTGCAAGAAAGAAAATCAGATGGGAGTCTAAGAGATTAGGGAGAGAAGCCCGGTACTGATAAGAACCTGTTCAGTGGGTGGAGACGAAAGACTGTTGGGCCGTTCGGGCCTAGTCACATTGCGTTCGGAAAATTGAAGCCGTCCAAACACCCTCTTCCTATCAATTCCATATGTTTTTAGGACATCTCCTAATTCGATCCTCCTCTCTACAAGACAATCTCTCCTCTCCTATCCTTGGGTCCCACCCCGTTCCTCTAATGCTAGACGACATCACGCCATCAGTCCGATCCCTTGACGCTGCCCACCACAAGTATGTCGATGTGTGGCTCGTTCGTCCATTCCACGACGCCACAACAGACGTCATACAATATGACGCCACGGTCTACAAGGCACACATATGCGTTGTGTGGTCATCCGACCTAGAAGCCGCCATGGCTACCCCTTGGGGCGTAGTCCAGCGATCACATTCGTCAGTTGCTCATCGTGCTCCCACACCGCCACGCAACACTCCACGTCATACTCCATGCAGCAGGTTAGAGGGAGGCCTAGGGCCTTTTTGTTTGCCTATACTAGGTTGGCCTGTACTGACAACGAGTAGAGTCAGGGCATTTCAAGGAAGGGTAGACTGATGCAACTTTTTTTGTTTGGTGAACTTAGTATCTATTGATTTGACATTTGTACATATGTTATTAGTTGGTCTAGAAGTGTTGTGGGCCCCACACCTCAGCCAACCCCACTTACCACCCACTCCCGCGTTGGAGTAGTGTCGGTGCCACAGCCAGCCGCACCCGGCAGAAACAAACCTCCCAACAGCTAGGCTCCATGGTGCTTTAAGCACCGTGCGGATCGGACCTGGCCCACGATGCATCCAGGAAACACAGACACGTGCGGTTGCACCGCTTGGATCTATTCCTGGCCACAGTCCAGGCAAACAAACACGTCCCTAGTTATTCTTCAAAGAACGGTAGGCGGTAGTTCTATTTGTGCTAGCAATTACTACCATTTCTCCTCCAAAGTTGAGGAGCCATGGTGCTCATCGTTGGACGGGAAAAGGAGAAGAGAGCAGACTAATTTAACTATGACACATGAGCACCACATGTCACGATAGTTATAAGAGATCAGTTTTAGGTAATCTGTTACAGCGCTGCACTCCTATATGCTCAAATTGCTTCTTAAAATGTCTCCTTTAGCTGATTATAGGATATCCAGTGGACGTAAAGGCAACTTCTCGGTGACGATGAGTATTAAATTGAAGCAACACCCACAATGGTTATTGGTGAATCCTAGGGTGCTTGGCTTACGATGACATCGGAAGCGGATAGGCAGATGTCTGTATTTTTAACTGATGATCAAGCTTGTTGTGGGGCCTTTTTCGTTTGGCTGATAAGTCAGACCGAAAAACCATGTTAGCTGGTTGCCCATCCCCATCGTTGACATGCAAGTGGCAGGCAGTACACGCAGTCGCGTCGCCGAACTCGATAGAAAAAAGCCCGCCGGCAAGGCTTCGGATCGAAGCGAGAGCAGGACAGTCGCCCGTGCACGTCAGGTTGCAATTGCAACCTGGCCGGCGAGCGCGACGCGGGAGCGCGGAGGCGCGGACCACGCGGCGCGGGCGCTGGTTCCCGTCCCTATCCCCGAGTGGGCTTCGCCAAGCGGACGCGGCCTTATCAGTGGTCGGCCGGGACGGTTGGTTGTCGGTCTCTCGGCTGCGCGTGGAGAGCTGGGCTGCCTAGGTATGGAGATGGGCCGGGATGAGTTTGTGTTGCTCCGCAGCTTCTACATGGGCTGGACGTCATAAATGACCAAAGCCCGTGTGAAGTCCATGCAACAATTTATTGGAAAAAAGTTCTTTATTTTAGGAAGCCATGCGACGCACTTTATTGATTATCAAATCGGATCACATCATTCACAAGGCTCTCAAAAATAAAATCAGGGGGTTCATCGACCTAAATAGAAAAAAAGTTTGTTTTAACTTTCCTCAACTTTCACGGTTCGATTTACCCCCATCATCTATAGAACCATTTTTTTTACCGCCATCAACTTTTAGAACCATTTATTTTTGCACCATGAACAATTTTGATAGTGGTTTTACATATATGGTGCCACGTCAGAGAAAGGATAAATCGAACTAAACTAAAAGTTCATGAAGGTAAATCAAACTAGAAATATTCTAAAAGAAATATCCAAAAATTCATAAAACTTTCAATATATTTATATATTTACATAAAAATGCAAAATTTAAAACCCTAACATCCGATTTTATTTTAGAAAATTCACAGAAATTTTGTTTTAGCTTGGAAAATAGTGAAACTAGTTTCAGATTTTTTTTTTCTTCCTAAAATCATGTTGTATCTAATGGTGCCTAGCTTGCAATTGTTTGAATCTTGATGAACTCATTTTGGTGCTTATTTGATAGTATAAGCTCCCATTATCTATTATAATTAATCGATTTTGCTTGTCCAGATTATGTAGAATCGCTAGTGGAGCATCGTTAGGATCATAGTAGGTGCTGATCCCCTAGCCTGGATACTTTTCAAAGTAGTTGAGTCAGTTTGCGTGGCTGCATGCACCCTACTGCACATATGCATGCATGTAGCTGTGCAGGCCAACACAACTACTTTCAAAATTTATCCAGCGCATGGGACCACGCTCCACTTGCTCTTCGACGTAATCTAGACAATCAACATCGACTAATTATCATAGTTATTTGGACCGGACCGGACCGGCGGTCCGACCGGTAAAAGACCGAACCAGAGCCTCGGCCGGTCCAGTCCACCTTAAAGGACCGGTAAGCAATCGAACCGGTATAAAACTAGCTAACTCTGGTGTGCAGGGTCAGAGAGCAAGTTGTCCACCACTGAGCCATGACTTCAGTTGTGTTCTTGTATCATTCTTCATTCTATTTGAACCAGATTAAACCGGCGATTCAACCGGTTGGACCAATCAAACCGTGAACTGTGAACTGTGAGGCCTTAAGCGGTTCGATGTCTGGTATGGTCCTAATAACTATGCTAATTATAATAGATATTGAGAGCTTATAATAGCAAATAAGCCCCAAAGTGAGCCCATCAAGATTTAAACAATTTCAAGCTAGCCACCCTAAGATAGAGCATGGTATTAGGGGAAAAATGTGAAACTAATTTCATAATTTTCCGAGCTAAAACATTTTTTTTTCTAATATTAAACTGATTTTGGAATTTTTAATTGCCTTACTTTT